AGTGTCTACAGGGCCTAGAGTGTTTACATGCCATGTGAGAGCCTAGAGTATCTACATCCTGTGTGCAGCTCTAGAGTGTCTACATGCCATGTGAGGGTCTAGAGTATCTACATGCCTACATGAGGGCCTACAGTGTCTACATGCTATATGAGGGTCTAGAGTGTCTACAGGGTCTAGAGTGTCTACAGGGCCTAGAGTGTCTACATGCCATGTGAGGGCCTAGAGTGTCTACATGCTGTGTGAGGGTCTAGAGTGTCTACATGCCATGTGAGGGTCTAGAGTATCTACATGCCATGTGAGGGCCTAGAGTGTCTACATGCTGTGTGAGGGTCTAGAGTGTCTACATGTCATGTGAGGGCCTAGAGTGTCTACATGCTGTGTGAGGGCCTTGGAGATTCATGAATGCCAGAAGAGTCCTGAAGGACAGAAAAGGATTGTTATTTTTTGGGGAACTTTTAGAAAAAGGACAAGAATTTTTAAATGTAAATTCCTTGGTTTTAAAAAAAAACATAAGCAAAAAGAGAGATTAAGTGCTCAGTCACAGCAGATATGGAGAAGGTGTGCCACCCTGATTTAAAGAATTTGCCAATTTCTGTGGTGTAACTGTCCTCACCATGGCTATAAATATCCCTCCGCCAGCTTACAAAGTTCCTAAAATTTTAACAATGGATGTGTGTGAGCCAAGCCCAGCATACACCTGACCACAACCAATTTCCACAGTTCTGCTTGTGCAGTTCCAAGGACAGCCCAGCTTCCACCTGAGAACCAAGCTGGAGCTTCAGAACATAGACTCCAGAAATCACTTCTCCTGCCTCTGGCACCTCTATTCATCTTCTTTCTCCAGAAATAAGGGAAGCAGACATGTCAGCTCTTCTGCCGGACACTCAACCCACACAGTGCAGAAGGAATGTGCCGGGTCTAACCTGGGCTCACTTAACCACTATTCAACTCCCCTTTCCTCTTGTTGACCCCACCCCTGGGAAGCCAGCTTCCCCGGGTTTGTTTTCTTACATGGGATGGGATGCATAGCCACACCTCCAATCATGTCTAAGTCCTGCCATTGCACAGAACTTAAACACACAAGTTTAACAGAAATCTGTCTGGAAAGGCAAGCATAAATAATAGAAAAACATATCCAGGCCCTTATTTAATAGTGAGCCTGCATCTTCCTGGACCTCTCTTCCACTCAGACCAGAACAAATGACCCCATTGTTCCTGCTCCATCTCTCTCGAAGCTTCCAATTTTCACAAGTCCTCTCTACCAGTGTTATACATGGAAGGCCACTGTTAAAATGCAAAACTCCAGATCCCTACAGCTGCAACTTGAGTCAGCCACGCCACATCCATATGAAAAACACGACATCCTCACATTAGGGAATGCTCATAGCAGGTGTGCTGGTTTAACTAGAAAACTAGGAATGGCCCCATAGACTCATGGGTTTGAATGCTTGAACCATAGAAAGTGGCACTATTAGGAGGTGTGGCCTTATTGGAGGAAGTGTGTCGGTATGGAGGTGGGCTTTGAGGTGTCATACGCTCAAGGTAGGACTAGTGTGGCGGTCTCTCAGCTACCTCTTCAGGACTGTCTGCCAAGTTTCCCACCATAATGATAATGGACTAAACCTCACAACTGTAAGCCACCCAATTAAATGTTTTCCTTTCTAAGGGTTGTTGCCATGGTCATGGTGTCTTTTCACAGCAATAGAAACCCTAACTAAGACAGCAGGCCATCAAAGCCTCCCACTTTACAAGACTTTACACTGAGAAAGACCTGATCCACTATAAAGCGATTTCCTAACAGCAATACCCGACTTCTGCCCCTTGTTGTCCTCTACATTTATTATTTCTGTTGGCCCTCACAACTCTCACGTGAGAAGAATATTATTACTCTGAAGAGCTGGGCCTCTTCAGAGACCCGGTCCCTCTATCTGGGCCATAGTGCGGTGATAGCATGTCAAATCCAGTGCTCCTAACTCTTGGATTTCACATCCTCCCCTGAATTTCTTCCTTCTTCTCATCACCAGTACAAGAAGGATGTTACCCAGAATCCCGGAAAGCTGGTGGGGGGAGGGGCACGGATGGAAGGCAGGCCTTTAATCCCAGCACTTGGGAGGCAGAGGCAGGCAGATCTCTGAGTTCAAGGCCAGTTTGGGCTACAGAATGACTGAATTCCAGGGCAGCCAGGGCTACCCAGAGAGATCTGGCTCAAAAAAGGGGGGGAGGGTCTCGGCAAGCTATGTGTCCAACATCAACAATGCCTCTCTCTCCAGGGCAAGGAGGGATGCAAGAGAAAGTTGGCAGAGTTGCTGGATTTACCAGGGCTTGGAGTGAGAGCCTTGGAGGTTAAAATCTGCGGCCCAAGGAGGCAGCAGTGCAAGCTGGAGCTGACAAGTTTGAAGACGCTGGCTGACCTCAAGTTAAAACAAGAAACATGAAGTGGGCAATCCAAACAGGGCTATTCATGGGCAGGGGAGGTGGTGGCTCAGTGACAAAGGGCCCACATAGTGTGTGCAGGCTCTGGGTTCAGTACCTATCCCAAGGCAGTGCCCTTCAGAAAGTAAGTACTTGTCCGTCGGTTGGTTCTTCATGAAGACTGGGCCGTGGTACTTTACAGTAACAGAAAAATTAAGGACATAAAGAACTCAAAAGCCTCTTGCTGCCCTACCCCCACCACCACCACACACACCAACTCACGGGCTCCAACACATCTGGGCAGAAACCTTCCCTTCCCCCAGCACCTCTGTCAGAACTGGAAAACTGCTGAGGCAGCAGCTAACTGCAAGTACTAAGAGAGACATTTCCCAGCTTCCCTGTGCGGCTGGCAGCTGCTGGGCCTCCCAGACCTTTTCTCACTGGGCTAAAGCCCCAGCCAAAGACTGAGAGAAGGGAGCCTAGGCCATTCCCACAGGAAAAGATAAGGCGATCTCAGGGTGTGATGGAGGCAGAGGGAGGAGCCCAAGCGGAGAAGCTGGTGAGAAAAGCCAAACTGAACACAAGAGCTACAAGCTGAGGCCTGGTCTGTCCAACACCCAGCTACACACAGCAGGCCCTGTCATCTCAAAAGTCCACGGGCCTCCTCTCAGATCCCTGGCACCCTAAGGCAGATTCCAAAGCAGATGCATTCCGCCCCAAGCCCTGTGAGAGATTACTGAACACAGCAAGGATATGTGGCAGGGTCCTGAGTTCTAGTCCAGCCTACTCCTACCTGACTGTAGACTTGGGCAGACCCTCACCTTCTCGGAGCCCCAGTGCCTCATCTAGAAAATGCCAGCACTGCTCTAGAAGTATCTCTAGCCCCCACCCCCCTGTATTCAGAGAAACAGCCCAGGATTTAAGCAGACAGAAAGGACAGAGGCCTTCCAGAATCTTGGTGAGAACAAAGACCTGTGCTGCAGAGGCCACAAAAACGCAGGCCCTTACATGGATCCCAAGATGGAAAATCAGGGTTCTGAACACTGAGGCCTGGCCGAAGAGGACGCTCGCTAGGCAGAGGTTCTCCCAGAACACTTGAAAGGCTAGAAAGGAACCCTTGAAGGACAGACATGACACTAGAAGGACAGAAGTGACTAGCAAGAAAGGGGAGGGACCACGCTGGAGCTGCAGATCTGGAGGGAGGACGGCCCAGTACCTGCCAGCCAAACAGCAGAACCCAAATAGAAGACCTCTGGAGACCATTGATCCCCACGAGTGAGGGAGAGGGGTTGACTAGAAGGGCTAGGTGGGGAGTGAAGAGAAGCTGATTACCTTGGCTTTACCCGTATTCTCCCGGGGCCCTTCTAGCTGCAGCCAGAAGTAGGGGGTGTCGGGACGGCTCTGGAAGGCGTTCACCTTGACCCTGAAGATGCGCTGGACTTGCAGCCGCTGTCGGTGCACCCGAGGCTTCGATTTCGACTGCACCATGAACCATTCCTGCGCGGGGGGCCTACCCCCAGACAAGAGCATGGCTGCCCCTCCTGTCCCTGGAAAGAGTGAGACAAGTGTCACCGGTCCCAGCGCTGAGGCCCCCAGGCCGGAGGCCCCCAGCCACCTAGCCCCGCAGCCTAAGCCACGCCTCCCTTTCCCTGCGGCGCGCCCCCCACCACCGCCTCCCTGCAGCGGGCTCTGCGACCCACCCGCCAGCGCTCCGCGCCGCCCTCCCAGCTCCGATCCTTTCTGCCGCTGCTCAGGAGACAAGCCCTTCCTGCAAGGGGTTGTAGCTAGGGGTGGGACCGGGCGGGATCCCGCCACCCTCCCCGCCACCCCGCCTTCCCCCTCGACCTCGCAGCCAGGCCCCCTGGATAAACTTGCCTGGGCTGCTGGATGGCTTAAAGGGGCGCTGGAGACCAAGGGAGGGAAGGAGAGGAGGCTGAGCAGGAAGGAGAAACCGGGCAGGGTCGTGGAAGCACTGCCTTCCATCCAAGTTTTGTGTCCGGGGGACAAAGTTAATTTTCTTCTGATTCCCCTTTCCTCGAAGGAAGGGAGAGGACGAAGAGGAGAGTTGGTCTCTGAGACCCTGTTCTGAGATTTCAAGCAGAGATCTACACACACATCACTCCTTTACACACATACACACACATACACACACACCTTCACACACATACACATGACTCCTACACACACACACACTCAAATAACTCCACACACACCACTCCTACACACATACATCATCACTTCTTCACACACACATGCACACCACTCCTACACACACACACACACACACACACACACACACACACACACACCACTCCTTGGTGGTCTGCACGTCCCTTCAGAACCCGGGCCTCTCCCACCTCTTCGTGGCAGGAAAGGGTTAAAGGAGAATCGGGTGGAGAGCCTACAGAGGCCAGGGCCTCCAGAAACTCTGGGCTGGAGACCAAGCAGGAAGTAGAGGGTAAGAGCTCTGACTCCCACCCCCCACTCCAGTCTGGGGACCGCCTCGGACTGGCGCACAGCCCAGACCCTGCGGAAGCCCCCCAGGCCTGGAGGGGCAGGGGAGTTAGCTGCCTGAGTTTTCAGCAGGAATCTTGTGAGAGCCCTTTTTCAACAAGTGTGAGTCAGGTCCTGAGGAGCCAGTGGGAGCTAGGGTCGCCTTCTACCCTTATCCCCAGCCAGCAAATTGGCATCAGTGGTCCAAGACTAGCCCTGGACTGGGGATACCTTCAAAACCCTGGCTGCCCTGGAGGCATCCTCCCTACAAAGAACACTTTATGCGGTCTTGTAGCCCGAAGTGGCCTGGCACTGTGAAAGCAGAGTCTGCATTTGGGGCCTCAGGGGGACCTTACTTTCCAAACAAACCAAGTCACAGTCTGACAGACACAGTGTGGCCCGTCCCAGGCAAACAAAAGGCAGCAGAATTTAACTAAGGCCTTTCCAAGGGCGGCTGTGTTATAGAGGCGTGTGTGTGTGTGTATGTGTGTGTGTGTGTGTGTGTGTGTGTGTGCAAGCGCGCGCATTCACCAGCACCTTCAGGCCAGTGGGGAGGGGCATGCTGTGTGTGTGTGTGTTGTATGTGTGTGTGTTCACCAGCACCTCCAGGCCAGTGGGGAGGGGCAGGCTGTGTGTGTTGTATGTGTGTGTGTTGTATGTGTGTGTGTTGTATGTGTGTGTGTTGTATGTGTGTGTGCTCACCAGCACCTCCAGGCCAATGGGGAGGGGCATGGTGTGTGTGTGTGTGTGAATGTGTGTCCACGCAAGCTCATCTCATCAGCATCCAAGGTCAGTGGGGAGGGAAATGAGGTAAAGCAAGGGCCAAGCTGAGGAAAAGATTCAGGTTACTTTCAGCCTAGACTGGATGGTCAAGCCCCACCTTTAATTCTTATCCCTATGTTGGAGTCCAGAAAAGTATCTGTGGGGTTCTGGCTAGTCAGCTCCCCAGCCTGCCATCTTGAAGGCTTTGAAGTCAAAGGCTGTCTGAGGGACTGCCTCTTCTCTCTGCCTTTCCTCCTCTAACTGTTCTGTTTACCAAAGGGCAGGCGTGGCAGTGCACCCCAAAAACCCCAGCACTAGAGAGGGTGAGGAAGGAAACCCTGATTCAGAAGGGAATGAAGGACCATGCCTCAGTTTCCCCTCTTTAGCAAGGTCACAGCCACACAACCTTATCCTCACTCCTTCTATAAATGATGCTAAATTCTTTCTGGCCTCCTTTAGTGATTGTGGGCTTCGAGCACAGTTACTATTGTCAAGGGAAGGCCCCAGGTTTAGTCCTGTGTGCAAAGAGATCGTGTGGAGAGCAGAAAGAAGCCAAGCATAAGACACTTCACAAACAGATAACAGAAAGCAGTTTATTTAAACTTTTGTGCTCAGTTGCTTTAGCTCATAAAAATGGGGTAGTGCTCCATTGAACACTATGGAACAGGTAAAGAACCTGACGCTTGCTACCTGGTCATCTCCTCCCCATCTCAGCTCAAGCCAGTGTGTCCTAGAGAGTGTCTTCCTGACTCACCCCTTACTGCCTGCTCATCCATCCACTTGGATGGATTGGATTTGGCCAGAAAGCCTGGTTATTGCCCCTCTTTGTCAGCGTGAGCTGTAAACCCTCAAGCAAGTCAGTAAACCCCTTGGGACTTCTTTCTCTTCATGTATTCTTTGGGCCAAGTTCATTGAACAATTTTAACACTTATTTTTTATCTGCTGTGAGCCAGGTTCCTGGGGTACAGCTTTGACTTGGTTTATCTCTTTGCTTCTTGGGATGGGTCCTATATGACTCAGAATGCCCTAGGACTCACTATCTCATTCAGGCTGGCCTTGAACTTGGAATAATCCTCATCTCTGCCTCCCTAGGGCTGTGCTCACTTGCATGCATCAACATGCCCATCTTCTTTTAATTTTTGAGCCAAGTATCTTTCCAGCTCATGTTTAACTATATTCTTTAATGTTTTGAGGGGTGAAGGGTTTCGAGACAGGGTGTCTCTGTGCAGCCCTGCTTGTTCTGGAACTCTCTGTAAACCAAGATGACTTCTGCCTCCCAAATACTGGGATTAAAGTCATGCTCCACCATGCCTGGCCTATATTCATTAATTCCTTACCTACAATGTTAGGCTAAAAGTTGCTTGATTGTGTCAGAGGCCTCCTGAAACCTGGCCCAAATCTACCTGGAGTAGAAGGATCCTGACTAAGAGAAAAACTAGGCAGTGTCTAAGCATGCCTGGCACCATCTAAGAAGCCCTGCCATGTTCGCATGAGGAATGAGAGGCCCCCAAGCCAAAAGATTATCATGATTAAGGAGGGACCTTCATTGTGAGCTTGACTGATAGATCCCATCCTTCCAAACCTTCAGAAGGAGGGGCCGTACTGTCACTCAAATACCTAACCCAGATCCACACCCATCTAGGTTCCTAGGGAAGGGGTGGGGAACTCTGTGAACCCCATGGCCCTGCCTAGAACCTTCTGCTGACAATAACTATGAGAAGCGGCAGGCATTGCATGGATTTTGTAGTAGTCGCTAAGATCTTTCACTCATGGAGGGCTCCCACCAGAGCAGAAGCGGCTTCCTGGAGGCATACGGAACTGTCAAAGTCTAAGGAGAGTTCAAACAAGAATAGAGGAGCGCCAAGGGAACCGTTACTGCTCTAAGGATCACTAAATAGGGTACTTTCCCAGAGTGCCCAGCATCAAGATGGGAAACAGTGTTCTCAGAAGGGTGGCTGAAGATAGTTTACAGAAGGGATCTTTCTCAAGGAAGAGGCAGGAGGATCAGGAGTTCAAGGTTCAAGTTTTTTGGGCTCTGAGGTATTTGTGGTACTTTCTTAACTTTTACAGAAAAAAAAAAACACTTTCTTTTTCTGTTGTAGTTGTTGTTATTTGGGGTTTTTTGTTTTGTTGTTGTTTTGTTGCTTTGGGTTTTTTGGGTTTTTTGTTTTGTTCTTTTTGGGCTTTTTTGGTGTTTTTTTTTTTGTTTTTTTTTTTTTGTTTTTTTTTTGTTGCTTTTTCACATTTCACAACAGGTTCTCTCTGTGTAGCCTTGGTCATCCTGGAACTCACTCTGTAGAACAAGCTGATCTTGAACTCAGAGCTCTGCCTGCCTCTGCCTCCTGAGTGCTGAGATTAAAGGCATGCATCACCATGCTCAGCCCTAGATATGTTTTTCAATTTTATGCAAAAAAAAAAAAATTAAAAACGAGAGGCTGGAGCGATGGCTCGGTGGTTTGAAATGCTTGTTATTCTGGGCAGAGGACCCAGGCTTGGCTCCAAGCATCCGCAGGTGGCTTCCCAAACATCCCTAACTCCAGTTCTAAGGTAGCAATCAAATGCCCTCTTCTGACCTCTGCAAGCCCCAGGACACATACACACATGCAGGTAAAACACACACATAAAACAAATCAAAATTCTTTTCAATTTAAAAATTAAATTCAAAGATGAAATGCAGGGTACATTCTAACTCTGCCCTTAGCTTTTAATGTTTTATTACTATTATGGCGTGTGTGAGAACAGGTGCTCTTGGGCCACAGCACACGTGTGCAGAGGAAAACTTTTCCTTTCCACTGTGAGTCTAGGGGTCAAACACAGGTCATCTGGCCTTTATAGTGAGCACTTTGACTGGCTAAACACTCTTTCCAAACCTACCTTATTGTATTTACCCACTTGTTAATGTTTGGTGACAGGTCGCATGTAACCCAGGCTAGCCTCAGTCTCCCTATATAGTCAAGTATAACTTCAAACTGCAAATCCTCCCGCTTCCACCTAAGTGCTGAGATTACTTCGACTTGGTTTATATGGTCCTGGAGATCAAAGCAAGGGCATCACGCATGCCAAGTAAGCACTCTGCCCACTGAACTATGCCCCAAGCCCCTTCCATTTTTTTTTTGTATGTTTTTATAAGGGGAGAAAAAAAAAAAGACCTACCATCAGGAATGTCCTTGTTATTTGCTGGGACCTTAGGAGTCTAGTTCACAAGGCAGACAACCTGACTTCCTTGTCCATTTTGCCCCAATGGAAAACTTATGGATAGGAAACATATGTACACTAAATGACAAAGCCTTTGTCTCTCAAATGACAAATGTCTTTCATTCTAAGTGGTTGGCTTCATCTGTCCTTGATCGTATTACAGTTAACAGATCTGCTGTAGGACTCACTAGTGACAAACAACCCTGGAACTCACACTCCCGGGTATTCAGCCTGAAAGTCCCTGGAAGGGAATTGCTGGAGTAGAAGGGGGACATGAAAGGATGGTTCTCCACAAGGGAGGTCATTTA